ACGTGTGCTCTTCCGATCTGCCCCCCTTTCGACTCACCGCGAGCGCTTCTGGAAGTAATAGAATTTCCATGACGTATTACACAATGAGAGGACTCACGTTAATTTATTTGCGGATAACTCGATTTCGCATTTGTGAGAACGCACGCGAGAAATATTTGTACTGTGTAAAAGAATATAGGAATGACGTTTAAAAGCGTGTTTGTGAAGAAATTTTTCCGCAATTAATTGCGACGGAAAGCGCAATTAGTTAATTTTTCACATCAATTTGTCACGGTCTCAAAGTGCAGGTTGCAGTTTATTTTTGTGTTAATTGCAAAAGCGTTGTAATAAGAGAATTTTTTTTTTTTTTAATGCACCCAATACTCCCAAATGACAAAGGAAAGCAGCGTCGCGGAATGTTTTTCGAACGTGTGTCGCGTCGACATTTCGGGTTGCGCTGCCTCGTGCAACGAGCTGCGCGAGTCGCATTTCTTGCAAATCATACTCGTGAATGATTCAGCCTGTAATAATGAGTTTAGTGCCTTCCACTCATCTCCCATGTCTTCCACGTAATTTAATCGACGAACACACACGTGAGGCCGTGAGGTGCGCACAGGTGTGGAAAAAACGGTTATTCGCCGGAGCATCTGAAAACTCGGCTAGAGATCACAGTCCTGAAAATAATTTTGTTGTACGCTTAAAGTACGGCAATTCCAACGTTTAAACATTTCAGCTTGAATGTCATGATTTTTACGAAGCAAACAAAAATTATTTTTAAATCCGTAATTACGTAGTTACTTTTAGACACCTCGGCTGAAGAGCCGTCTTTTTCCAAAGTGCAACACTTCCGGCCACTCACCGCACTCTTTGTACATACACCTGTAACCGATCGCCGTGTGTATATCCCGAATTCGACGGGACCAAATTATCACCGAGATCGAGCGCTGTTCGATGCTCACGCATTAATTAGATATGTAATTAGATATTTTTCTACATGTTTTATTACTATAGCGGGGACACAATTTGTCCGTGTTATTAGCGTTGCCATGTTCACGCGCGTCTTGCACTCGCGTCTTTCTTGAGCTATACCGACAATAATTGCGAGATATAATTATATCTCGATCGTATATAGCGTATTAGGATCATATAGGCGAGGAGAAAGGCGGTTCTCCGCTAAGAAAGCGCGCGTTTCTGCTAACATTCCAAATCTGCCTAATGGATAATCGCGTTTATACATGAAACGAGCACACATCCTCGTTCAAAGCCAGAGGCATTGTTTCAAGCCGAGGGAAGATTAGAAAGACGATTTATAACGAACGCGAGGAGCAAATTGGATTTAGGGGGAAGTATGCCGCCTACTCTTGCGAAAGTCGATCCGCGGCGGCGCGATAAACATTCAATCGGCGGAACAAAAATGTTTTACAGGCGCGCGCGTTATAACGCGCTATTATTAAATTGTAATGGTCTCGCGCGCGCGCGGCTATGCCCGGCTATTCAATGGCAATATAAATAGTACGAATAAATACGCGAAGGAATAAGGTGCGAACGAGAGTAGAGCAGAGCGGCGGACCGTATATGAAAAGAGAGCCGCAGATCTGAAATGTCTTCAGCGTGTTACGTGAAAAATCGCGATAAAAGCGCGAGCGAGAGCCTCGTTATTCGACGGCCGAATGTGACGAATCGTACACGGAGAGATCAACGATTTTACTGGAAGAACAAAAAATTGGAAAATAATTTTTGTTAGAGCACCAGATCAAAATATTTTGTTGGAAACTCAAAAATAATAAGCATTGCTGTAAAAAGTTTTTTCATATTATCTAGCAATCAGTTTGACTTTTCAACAAAATTATTTTGATGGTGCTCTAACAAAAATTATTTTCAGATTTTTTTCAGATTCTTTCCGTGTATAAGGGCGAATTCACACCTTGACAGAAAAGCGGAAAACAGAAAAGCAGAAGCCAATCAGAACTCGCGTTGGTAGTCAATAGTTTTTGCTCTCTGCTTTTCTTGCTATCAATGCGAGTTCTGATTGGTTTCTGCTTTTCTGTTTTCCGCTTTTCTGTCAAGGTGTGAATTCGTCCTAAGAATATAATGCGACGTGCGTCGCGTGTTTTACAAAAGACCCCGGCATAATCCTGGCGCGCGCGCGCGTCTACTCTCGCGATCAGACACAAAATCGGAAAATCGAATTCGCTTTAATTGCTGTAACCGGAGGGGCGCTACAAGCCCGATATTAGCGAAACACGCTCTGCGCGGGGACGCCCGAAAGATATATAGTTTGCCGGTGAAAAAGCCCTTCCGCGGGGCCGCCATATCTTCCTCGCGCGTTTAGCTCTCCGTTTTTTGCGGAGAAAAAAATCCCTCGGTTTCGCGACGCACGAAATACACTTGACGACGCGACGGCGAGGAGAGTGATATTAGATTACTACCACCAGCGGAGCGTGTCGCGGGACAGGAGACGGGCCCGGCACGATACTCTTTTATCGGCATCGCGGCGACGAGCGAGCGGGGAGGCGGGAAGGGGAACGACTCAATTACGCGGCGCGGGGAACGGGGACGCGGACTGTTAATCGGGTACGCTTTAGACGGCCGACTTTTTGCGGCAATTATTGACTGCGACTGACGCGTACACACATATACACGCATACAACGGATATTATACGCGTCGTGTCGCCGCGCGCATCGCGGGCAATAAGCGACTAATATCCAGCAATTATCGATCAACACGCGGCAATTAACGTCGTGGGCCGTTCGCGCGCGGCTTTCCACCGTAGAAGAACGCCGGTAACGCCGCTAATTTTCCCCGACGCGCGCGCGGTGACGCAGAGAGGGACGGCGTCGGAGTCAGATTTCAAGATGACACGCCGGAAAAATCCAGGTGGCGAAATACCCCTCTGGTTTTATCGTCGTCTCACGACAAAGAACGTCGATCGAGATAACTCTGCTACAAACCGTTTTATCTTTACTTATACAAAATGCGATACCTGAAAGTGCCAAATAAATTCCTGGAAGGATTTTGGATTCCAGGACGATTTTGTTGGATATAGATCTGAAAATAATTTTTCTTGAACAATCAAAATAATTTTGTTGGAAAGTTAAAAATGATAAACATTTGATGGTTCAACAGGAATTATTTTCAGATCTGCATCCAGCCATATCGTTCTTTCCGTGTTAAATTACACTTACATTTAGATGATTAAAAACACCGTTTATTTTTTAGTGCTTTTACAATACTTACACAATAAAATAAGTCACTCTATTTGGTACTTTCAGTATTGAATTTCTCTAACAACAAGGGTATCGGCCGTCCGAACGTTCGCTCTCGTTCGCTTTAACATTATCGTATTCGCGTTCGCGAACTCGCTCGAGGTCCACGGAGCCCTCGGTAAAACCACCTTCTTCGACGTTGGCGCACTTCTCACGTCACATTATCGTCGATCGTCGCCCCCGAGGCGGGCAGGGAGGGAGGGAGGGAGAGGGAGACTTTTGCAGCTCGCCGTATTTACGAGCGGCGCGATAATTGAATCCCGGCGAGAACGATGTAATATTATACCCGGTGTTATCGCGCGTCAGCTAAAAGAGTGGCGACACGCCCGGAGTGGTAGCCCCGCGTGGTGCGCTCGCGAGCGTGGCAGGGGGAGAGGTAGAGGGGGGGGGTGCGAGAGGTGAGAAAATTAAGTGTGAATGAGCGGTATTAAAATAAGCGTGCGCGCGACATTCCCCTCTCCCCCGACCCCCCGATAAAGTATCGAAAGTAAAGGCGATATCTCGCGCGGCGACGGCGACGGTCGTAAACTGGGCCGCGTTACGACGCGGCGTTGCTACACCGCCTCGAGGATAATCACGTCGCGTAACGAGACCAGCAATTTCGCGAGCATCCACGGCGAGCGCGGTCCTTAGCCTCTCATCGGTAGCCGGATAAAGAGAGAGAGAGAGAGAGAGAGAGGACGATTTCTTCTCGGGCGCACTGATAAAAGATCTGGACCGGACCTCAAGCGCGAGAAACATTGCGTAACCGTCGTAATCGCGAACGAAAGCGGCGTTGCGCGTGAAAGATCGTATCTCGCGAGATCCTACGAGATCGAAGCGAGAATTAAAGTCTTCGCTCGCGACTCCGTCAGTAGCCGCATTCCTCGGAAGCGATGAAGAAACTATACGAGAGGAAAAGTAAATCTAATGGGTTCGTACTTCGTATCTTTTCAGATAAAGGATAACGTAAGTGAAATTATAATCGCGCGACGCGATTCATATTCCGTGTAAGAAAGGCCATCGTATATATGTAAAACAATTTTAATCGTGTTCCTAAGATCTTATAAGCGTGTCGACCGATCACGATGAAATATGAGCTCGCACTTCTTACGATTAGTCGATTTGCTTACAGTCTTATGGTTACGGTTAAAAATTTCTCATGTGATGGCCTTAATTCGGTCGTTAAACGCGATTCTCTCAGATCTGCGGCTCGAGTTCGCCGGATATTGTCGCACACGTCGTCGGACACGTATTAATGGCGTTATAAACTGCGATTTGTCTTCAAAATATATCAAGAATGTCGGGTCTAAGAATAGCCGGATTAGAGCCGCGCGTGTGCGCGCGTTTTCCAATGAATTGTATTAATCGTTAAATTGGTCAGGAGGCTTAATTAGAGCCAATAACTTAACTATCAAATAATTGTTGCGAATTAAGGTCGGCCACTCGTGCCGCTGAAGCGGGCCGGAAGTTGCTACTGTAAATGTGTCGCGCCTCGAACGTTTTCTTTCGCCCACGTCATCTCGCTTCGGGGGAGGGGGGGGGTTCCCTCTTCGCTCCTTTCGCGCCACAAATTTTTCTTCCTCAATTGATCGAGATTCTCTTGTTCGATAAATTTTTCCGCACGCGACGCTGGAAAATACTCCGTTACGTCAAGGAGAGGTCCTTAATGCATTACAGTATGTGATATATCGGCGCGAGGAGTGACGTTGTACTCTTTATTGCGAGGCCTCTGATCGGGCACGACGATATTGTAATAAAGCAATTATAAATGAATTAGCGATTACTCCAGTTGTAACGTTTTTCGCCGTTATACACGATAACGCCGGCCGCGGGAGATGCCCGACAAGGACATCAAGATGGAACGTATTCGATTTCAGCTTTTTCGTTTAATTTTTTTTTGGTTTCGTTGTCAAAGCAAAATATCAATATAAGGATCCAAGTTACTCTCCGATTGGGAACGAATTTTCTGATAATTGTAACTAGCGATACGCAGGATGTGTGCTCTATATAAAACGGCCGTTTGCGCGGGCCGTCTTGCGCGAGGGGTGCGCGTTTCGCGCGCGACGCGTTTTCCCGATTTCTTCGAGTTTAAGGCCCATTTTCGTAATATATGATTAACGAAAAGGTTAGGTTAACTAAAACTTGAAAATTAACTAAAGCACACTTTTTATAAGCCTATATAGTCAAATAAACTAAAGGTTACATGTACATCAGTTGAGTTGGCATCAAGTTAACATGTTAGTTAATTCCTCAACGTCGTGAAACAATAAGTTTCTCGGTAATTTTTAACCTTTAGATAACCATACATTGTGAAAATGGGCCTAAGAAATAAAGTGCTCCAAGATATACATTCCGTGTTTCTGCGTAGAACCTCCCTTCCCCCCCCCCCTCCGCGGCGCCCATAATTATATGTTTCGTGTTTAGCGTTAAGTAAAGGAAGGTTTAATGTTAAGTAGACTTAATGTTACGCGCGTCGACGTCACAACCGCGATTCCGCTCGTTCTGTATAACGAACGACTCTCTAACTGCTCTGTAACGATTGCGCGGCGAACGGCAATACAATCGATATTTGGGTTTCACCTAGAAAGACGTAAATCCCTTAGATTTACTTCGCCACAACCTCTACTCGCAGGTACACACACACACACACACACACTTACACACATCTGACACGCGACATACCTGTCTTTCTTAAGCGCCGTTTTCTAGGTGACTCCGCCCACGTTCAAGGTATAAACGGCAGGATGCACCTGCGTGCATCGGGACGAGCGAGTATCGATTCGGCGTGAAAATTGTACATCGCGGAATCGTTAACGCAACAACGATATTCGCGGATTTTTTCCCCTCCCGCGCGCGTTTTCGATCCCGATCGATGGATCGATCGCACGCGGATTGGAGGGCTCGCGAGTTCACGTTGGAAAGAGTAACGCCCCTTGTTCAGCAGAACACGCGCGTTATGGACGAGCGAGTGATGGACGATCGATTAATAAAAGAATCATGCAATAATGAGGACATTTATTCACCCTGAATCCCGCCCTCCCCCTTGTATTTCCCTTCACCCCGCTCCCTCTATCCGCCACCACCCCGCTCCCTCTTCTTGAACTGGTCGATCGCCTCGACTAATAGCTGCTTTTCTGTGTTTTCTCTTTTCCACGGGGGGCGTTTACACTAGCAGACAGCTACCAGTACCAGCTGCAGTCCATGTGGCAGAAGTGCTGGAACACCAACCAGAGCCTGGTGCACAACCTGCGCTTCCGGGAGCGTGGACCCCTCAAGTCCTGGCGGCCGGAGACTATGGCGGAGGCGATCTTCAGCGTGCTGAAGGAAGGGCTCTCCCTCAGCCAGGCGGCAAGGTGCGTTCTCGAGCTACGTTTCTTTTACACCTCGACTTCATTTTTTTTTTAATTTATAAAAAATATCACACTAAAATCACTTATTTTAATGCATCAAACGTTAAACCAGTGCTGTCCGAGATTTGCAATTCCGGGGCGTATCGGCTTGACGTGTGTATCGGCATTAACGCGTCTTTGCGGTTTTTTTTTCTTTTAGAGATAGAAAAGGAGATAGAAGAAGGAAATAAACGCCGACACACCTCGAGAGTCCAATGCTTAGAATTACAAATCTTGAACGAAGCGCCGCGCACATTAAACCATTAATTCCTTTAAATGCGTTGTTAAATATTTTATAACTCATCGTGCTCATCGTGATATTATATCTTTACGCAATCTCACTAATTGCCGGAACGGTTGATAAGAAATTTATTCGGAAGGAAGAATCGCGTGTTAAAAAGTACCGCGGGGGTAAAAAAAAAAACAACAAATACGCTCGCGGCACCGGGCCGTTCTGTAATGTTAATATTAATCGATACAACACATTAATCCTAAAAATATTCCAACGTTTTCCAGCGCTGTTTTGTAAAAAATTATTCATCTCATTTAATTGCACTTTTTCATTATATTACGCGCAATATATTAATACCGGCTGATATGAAAACGCGTTAATTTAAAAAATATATCGAGGTGTCTCCGATGTAACATTGCAAAAATAATTAATTTACTCGCAATCATTTTCCGTGTACGACGGTGTATGTACACCAACACTCACCCACCCACCCATCCACCGCCGTTCCCCCCCGTGCGCGATAAAACCAATAATAAAATTAATATTATACCCCACACGCGCGCGCAGTTGCATAAAACTTCGGTGCGCGTCATTTAATATTAAACGCCGAGTGATGAAATGCGTTGATATAAAAATTAAAGAATTATTTTAATTGCCTATCCCAAGAGTTCGCCTATCCCCTCCTTCTCCCCTCCGCGCGCGCGCGTGTTCTTGCAACTGTTAATAAGTGATACGGAAAAGATAAATATTTTATGCCGCGAGTTTATGCATCGCGTTGCCGTTGTGTGTTCCTCCGCGTGCGCGCGCGCGCGCGCGCCAATTCATGCAATGCATCGGGTAAATAGTTAAAATTGTTATATAAATGTCTTATGATGCGCGGCGCATACAATAGAGTCGGGTTATTACGCAATGAAAAATTCCTGGAAATTATCCCGCATCGAGGCGTACACCTTATCGCCGCGCCTCGAGAATCACGCTTAAATAATCGTCCGATCTACTAGCGCGAGCGCGGAGCGAAGACGCGGGAAAAGAGAAAGAGAGAGAGAGAGAGAGAGCCGCTTTAAAATCATTTGTTGCCGCGGACGTCGTAAAGCCTTCTGTATCACGGTTTGCGTAACAACGTCCGACTCCGCCGTTAAAAGGGATTTCTTTTTTAATTCGCGTACAAAGCGACTCAATAAAGCGCGTCTTTACGAGCCGCGAGCGCGATAATTTTTACGATAATCGATATTCCGACGATCGATAATGCTCTCCTAATGCCTCCCCGCGTGCGCGCGCGACACGCGAGACCTCCGCATGCCATTTCATAAAATTTCCATTCGATCCGCAAGAGAGAGAAGGAGAAGAGTGCGGCCTCTTATTTTAATTACCGTTAATTTCGTTGATATTATTTCAACTTGAAAACAAATATAACGGGGCGACGAAACACGACTCTCGTATAAGTAATCCCGCGGAGTATACTTGCGAGAGACAAACGCGATTCTCGCGTCGTACTCTTCTCGCGAGGAGTTTCCACGTTACTTCGTTAAACGCACAACGTCATCGGCGCGGCGCGGCGGCGGCGGCGGCGGCGGCGGCGGCGGCGGCGGCGGCGGCCCCGCGCGATTGCATAATTCCGGGAGATTGCATAATTTCCATCGTCATGCATTCAAATATGTTCCGCCTGAATCTTTCATTCTCTCCGTCGGTATAATAAAATTAATATAAATTAAAGTGAAATACGTAATGAAACGGGGATAAACACATAAAATGGCATTAAAATACGAAACGAGCGCGGGAATAGAATGGGCAGGGGCCTTAATTAAGAGACGTAACGTAATGCGCGATGTAAGATATGTTTACGGAGCCGGAGTGCGGAGCTAATAAATTATGTTGATTATAATTATAAGCCACAAATCATAATTGTATCCTCGCTTCTGCCTTTTCCAGGAAATACGATATCCCCTACCCGACGTTCGTCCTGTACGCGAATCGAGTACACAACATGCTGGGTCCTAGCGCCGACGGCGGGGCCGGTAAGTATTACAGTTGCCATTTTCAGTATCTTCGGAAAAAAAACGCTCCTCCGCTCCTCGATTTGACATACGATTTGAGGTCTCTCAATGACGAGAGCAAGAATCGATGCCAATCAGACAATCGAATTGAGACGCAATTATTGTTAATTGCCGAGAATATCGAGAACCGCGAATGGCGTATCTTATCAAAAAAGACAATTTACAAAGGAGGATATAAAAAAAAGACGATTTGGACTCAAAAAGATGTAAGTAAAAATAATGTTTTTTTATAGATTTTGATTTCCTGAATATGATAGAACTGTTAAAAAGTTCGTAGCGCTTGGAGAACATCTTGAAAATTGAACTTTTTAATAGTTCTATTGTATTCAGATCAAAATCTATAAAAAACTATTGTTTGTACTTACACTTTTTTGAGCCAAATCGGCTCTTTTTTAACATCTTCCTTTGTATAGAATTTGTGATTTGTTAACAATGAATTTCTCAATGTGACGAGAACGAGATCGGTACCAACAATCAAGATCGAGATGCAGCAAACAACACACAGACCTGCAAAATTGAAGGTCGTAAAAACGTTTTTAACAATTTTAATGTAGATATTTTTGGATGCTAAACATGAATCCATTCAATTATTCGAATTTGACAATCTCAATTTTGAAAAAAATGACGCCAAAAATTACAATTTTGTTTTCATGATCAGCGCCGACAGCAAATTTTTTTCTAAACTTCGTTAGTGCCACGCGAAAGTATAAACTTTTAACTTTACAATGCATTTTATTTCGTTTCGGTACGTGATTTTTCTTTTTCGAGATACAGCAATTCGAAAATAAGAAGATTATAATCTTCCTGTCACGTTGTAATTTCACGTTGTTTCTTGATTTAGCATGATCCGATTATATTACCTACGTCATTTCAAAAGCACTTATACTTTCTACATAATGCAGTATTAAGATAGAATAAAATGCCATTCCCATGTATTGAAAAATTAAACGGACTATTTTCAAACTGCTATTTCGACATCCCGATATAAAAACAGTTAAGACTTTTTAAAAAGGTTCCTTTTTATCGCGATTTTTTTATCGGTGTTATCGTAACCTCCTTCGAGTCGCGTCGCGAGTAGCGCGCTTTGCAAAGAAAACGGCTGAAGAATTTATGTAGAGTTTACGGTTGAAGAAAATAAAATCTTAGTGACGGTGAAAATTTACGATTACGTTCTCGAGATATGAAAAAGACGTATTTTATCCCTTTGTTATTCACTTCCCGTGTGAGCGTCCCGAAACGAGCCTGAAATTCTGCGCGTTCAACGTCGCCGGCTCTTAAAACGGCTCGTAAGACCTTGGCCCATCACGCGAGGAGCTCGGCTAATGGACCGCGACGCGGTGTGGCCAATTGTAAATAGTTTGATAAACGGCATTGGATCGGGAGAAGAATAAGCCTGAAAAGTCAATTACGTTCGTTAAAGGCCGCAATTATATCGTGAAATTATGACCGGGCCTAATACCTAATGGTAACGCTTAGTTACGCGCCATTAGCGTGTAACGTCTTGTAAACACTGATCGAATCTATATTTTTAAAATGCCCTTTAGTCAATAAACAGACGACTTAAACATTTTTCTTAACGATTAATTATTGTCGTTCTGAGTTCACATCTCTATGCGATTAGGAAAAATGTTCTTTTCCATGAACATTTTAGTTGAAAAGAGATACAAAATTATCGTCATTTTCAATCTGACAATAACTTACGGTAAAATTACGGTAAAATGGTAATTTATTGGTAATTTTGATATAAATTTTATTTTTAATAGTTTTATGCCCAAATAAGCTGTTTCCCGTATTAATATAGATAAGGTAAAATGATATTAATTCTTTTTATATTTTCAAACCTATTCTCATTTGGTAACATTGCATCTGAAAATAAATCTTAAACTTCTCGCACACGAAGTACATGAAATACTGACTGAAAATTGTATTATTTTTTAACTTTTATTAAAATTTTGAAATTAATTAATTTTTTCGTTTATTATAATTAAAATTGTAATATGTTTTTCTTTAGATACTATAGTTGTGCAATTATAAAAAGTTTCTAATAATAGTATTAGCTAATGTAATTACAGAAAGTTTATTTTGTTTTTCACATTTGTAATTCTGTGTGTTTTTTTATTCCTCATATTAAAAATTTTATATACTAATATAATAGTCGCGAAAATAATGTGATAAATAAGAGTTAAGCCGTAATATAAATAAAGCTGTAACAATATAAACTAAATAAAGATTTATCTATTACAGATAATCTGTAAAACATGAATTAAGTATAAAGTGCTTACTCATTTTTAATGTTAAATGCTTCTTTTAAGCTTTATTTTAAACTTTTTTTTTCTTAATTATCATTTTACCAGGTCCTCAGAATTACCTGACAATTTACTGTAATTTACCAAGTATGTTACCGTCAGATTGGGTTATTTTCATCCAGGGTTGTGCATCTACGCGTAAAATATAATACTCTACGTTTACGTGTACGTGAACTATTGTATAAGTGTCATCTATGTAGACAGTCAGTAGACTATATATTTATTCATTTAATAAATACATATAATTTAACGTTTATGAAAAAAAAACTACCATTTGAGTAAGAAAAATTCTCTGGTTACATTCTTAATCTCGTAGTTAAATTAATGTTCAAAATACATTAAGAATATCCTAAAGAAGTCGTGGTATCTTTAGTCTGTTTCTAGATTTTGGATATTTCTACTGTGGATAGAGACTGCTTTATAATTTAATTCTTTTATATTAGTGATACAATTTACAATAGTTTACATAGTTTACAAGTCTAGATTGAAGTAGCAAAAAGACCATGTCAACATTACGTAGATTTCACGTAAATAATCCGTGTAGACGTAATCTTGAAATCTACGGCACAACCCTGTTTTCATATCTAGTTGAAATGTATACCGAACAAAACTATTTATGTATTTTTGGTACATATAAATATCTTCTCTCATTTATAAAATAGTCTACAAAACGAAGTAGAAAATGTATTCGCAGAAACACGACTACATTTTTTGTGATATAAAGCAAAACACGTAATTTGGTCGCGGTTAAAAAGATGCCGCCTCGACTAAACAGTTTTACTGATGACTACATTGTTTTCCTGCTGTATTTAAGGCGCAGAGGCCTTCGTCACGGAGATTCCCTCATTGATAAAGCCCAACGGTTGTTCGCGTGTCGCATAAAGATCTCGTTCCCGTTCTCTTTCTCGAATCTGTTCAATTTTAATTCTGTGCCGACAGAGAGAAAGAGAGAGAGAGAGAGAGAGAGATTGCGAGACACGATCG